GTGTAATTATCTACTGTGTCTAAAATATGAATGAATCATACTTTTATTACTTTGTAGTATTAGATTACATTGTCTGTTGTGGAGTATAAAGAACAACAATGTAGAAAAAAGAAGAAGAAGAAGTAAGACTTGAAATTTACACTACGACTGAACTCGATGAAGTATTCTCAGGCAAAGAGAGCCGTGTCAGTTGTGAACAAAAGCCCGACGTTTCGAACACCATATTTGCCTCCTTCACCAGGAGATTCTGCTGGCTCACTTTAGAGCTTAATTGATTGGAATGGCGAACTTTTGTGTTGAAACCCCGTGTTATTTAATACCTAGGAGTCGGCTGTTTAACCACATCGCTTATTGCTACATTGTTATTAAACATGAACTTATAAGTGAATGATGATTTAAAAATACATTGATTTATGATTTCATGGATTCAAACAGTTTTTTAATGGAGCGTCGGATATTATTCCGCGTATGATGACCACCATTTTCAATGTCAGCCTGATCAAATATTCACGACTTTCCTGGTTCCCTTTGATAAGGATTTTATAGACGGAACGCATAGCCTAATTAAGTCCTGTGATGGTTAGCGCTGCAACTGATGGTGTTCGTAATAACCTACCGCTGTATCATTATCACGGCTTCTGCACGCAGCAATACACCTACAGTGACCATCACAGCTTCAGTTGTTGAAGGATGCGGGACAAAGCCAGGGAGGCGAAAATCGATGTCACATTCAGTTCCTCATTGCGCTATTACCTGCAGGTATGATGAAGATCAGCCAAATTAGTCACATCAGTTATTTGAGACAGTTTCCCCAAGGCGAGAGCTGGGGCCCTCTGGGGGAAATAGAAACTTCACCCAGGGTGGGTGAGTGGGGGGCGCTGAAATGGGTGGACAACGAAGTTGCTAAATTAATTATAGTTCTAAATAAACGATCGATACAAATAAAATTACGTTAAATGAAAAACAGTTTAGTAGAAAAGTAGTAAATAAATATTAGAATTTATTGGTACACATTTTTTAAAATAATATATATCATATTTTAACACAATTTTATAGGATAAATATAAGTAGGGCTAGTTAGTTTGCGTGAATATTATTGTACTTTTTCTCTCTACCTTTCACGGCCATTAACGGTATGATTAGCCTTGTGGTAAGGGGGAGGAATATTTTTTTCTTCAGAAATGGTACCTGCATGTCTAAGGAATGGATTCGAGCAGCGATACTAACTCATGGCATCGGAGACTAATATTTTTTGGCGTTTTTAAAACTCACTCGTGAGAGATTTTTGTTCGTAAATGTTCAATGTGGATGACTGGGTAATATCTTTGTCTTCATCATAACATAAACACATTGATTGTTACGTTGTGTGCACTCCTGTGTCGAATTCAATATGGTTTTAACGATTATATGTAATTTCAATTTCTCTTCCTGTATTCCTCTGGATTATATAACTTTATCCACTCACCTGTAACATTGGGGAAACATCGCAGGTAAACACGTTTAAATATACATACTAGTAATAATTAGATTTTGAGACTGTTATTTGCAGTGTGCAATGTAAAGTGGTAAGGTTAGGTCTGTCTGTCTGTCTGTCCCTAGTAATTCCACTGCTACTTTGGCGACGAGTCAGAAACGTTGAGACACACATCCATACGCTTGAAATCCTGGATGTACACAGGACCTTGATGTCTGCGTGGAACGAGTGCGATAATTAGAGTGTATAGATAATCGGCCAACTTCCTATTGTCCACGAACTCATCCTCAGTTAATGGAAGTTCATGTGAAGATTATTACCAATTATTGCACACACAAGGCGATATATAACAGAACACTGATCAAGCAAGTGTTGGTTAGTGATCATTCATCCACGGCCTTCTATGTGCATGTACTTTTGTCATGGTCCACTATGTACACTCAGCAACAAAAATCAAGCGCTTGAAATTTTCTAAATCCAAATCTGGACGTAAGCCTGCAGTTGGCGTCGTTATTCCGATCATTTGTAATCTGTCTGTGTTTTTCCGGACGTGGCTTTTCTCCAAATCCCTTAAAAACTATTACTTATACCAGTTGTCTGTTAAGCGAAGTTTGAGGCACTACGTGAATTAATGGTAATGAGTTTTACGAGTCGTATTGCTAGAG